ATTATGAGTGTCCGGCCAATATTAAATGCCTTTAATCGGTGTTTTTTGATCTGCGGTATGGGCAGTGTTAACTACAATCAAGGACAGTTTAAGACGATGATGTACATATTACGATGCATTTACATTTGTTGTGGACTCAATTACACATACCGTGAAAATGTTCAATGGGTAAACAACATTTTAATTATATTATTATTTATGATATTCTTTTGACAACACTGGCGTATCGTACAGAACGGTGAAGATATTATTAAAGTAAAAAATAACTTATATTCAGAAATAAAGAGAAAAAATGATTGGTTTTTTTAACAGTATATCTTTAAAATATGCGATATAAAAATTAAAATGTTTGGTTGGATTTGAAGTCATTTTTCGTGATGTAGTTGCAATGCTGAATTTTTTTTAAATTTAGAAAATATAAGTTGTATTTCTCAACTTCAAATCAGATGTAAATCGGCTGTTTCTTTAAAAAAAGCTATTTGATTTGCAGTACGATACTATATGTTTTCGCATGTATTTAAAATTGGTTCAGCTTGTTGTTTATATACATATTTTTAAAATCCATTTTATTTTTTTCAAATTTCAATATTACTCATTACCCATAAATTATCATATTACTTATTTACATCTGTTATACTCGATGTAAATTAAACTCAATGTCAGTTATTTTGAAAATAAAATAAATAAGACCATATATAATAAATAAACAATATGTTGAATCTATGCATTTATTGCATAATTTAACTATGATGATATGTAATATAAGTTCTATTTATATGTCATTGTGTTTAACAGGCGAAAATTATTGATCCATATGATATGTTGAATCTATGCATTTATTGCATAATTTAACTATGATGATATGTAATATAAGTTCTATTTATATGCCATTGTGTTTAACAGGCGAAAATTATTGATCCATACATTTTTGACATAACTTCAATAGTCATAATGTTTGTTTTGGAAATTATATATATTGGACACATTGTATCCAGGGTGTGGCGCATATTTTATGATAATCGACTATCAGTGGTATTGACTAATATTGAAGGAATTCACGAAAAATTAATACATCTGAAAGTGGTCAAACCAATGACAATAAAAACCAATTGGCTTTTTACAACTGGTATTCTTTTACATTTTATAGCAAGTAAAATATATGTGGTCAAATTTCTTATTCTTAGCAGTTTCGTATACAGGGACACACAATTGTCAATACTTATGGTAATAAACAATACCTATATTATTTGATGTAAATTTGTAGATATTCTACAAAATAAATGTTAAAATTTTGGTTTTTAAATAACATTTTTAATTCAAAATATATCAAACGTATTTCATACAAAAACAATCAAATTATTTAAATAATTTTGGGGCACTGAGTTGGTTTCCAAACAACTTAAAAGGTTAGAATACACACAAGGTACAAAATATAATTAAAATATTTTTTAGGCCACACATTTGGTTTCATCTATATGTGCATGTGCTGCATTTTATGAATACGTACTACTAATATTATACATACGATGGATCGTGTGCATCATAAACGAACAAATCAAGTTAAGACATTCAACAATAAGTACCTACAGGGATTTGTATTTGGAAGTTATCGATTGCTTGAATGTTATCAATAGATCAATATACGGTTGTTCGGTCTTATGTACTTTTATTGCGGCAAAGGTTGGACAACTGTTTTATGCGTTCTACTATTATATACTATTTACTGTACCAACAACCATGGATGAAGAGCGTATATCACTAACCATAAATCTATCAATTTGTGTATTTGATGTCATAATCTTATATGGAATTGGTCAAGTAACGGCACAAGAGGTGTTTATCATAAACTTTATAGTTGTGTAGGATGTTAATAGATAACAAATTAAATAAATGTCTAAAGGCATTCAACACTCATATATTCGATCTATACATTTATAAAAAAACCGATATTGTTTTTAAATAAAAATTAATAAATAAAAAATAATATGACGTTTATACTCGAGAACTATTTTTTCTACGCATATTATTTTTATATTAAACGTTTTTTTTTTTTTGGATTACAGATAAATCGGATGAGTCTCGTGTTACACGAACGGTCGTTGATAGAAAAAAACCCTAGAATAAGACGTCAGGTATTAATGTGTTTAGTAAAATAAGAATAATATGTAAACTACTGAATATATTTTATATTTTATGGAATAATTGTTTTTATTTTTTTTTTAGATAAAGTTTTTTATCTTACGGAGATTTCAAGAGCCCTTTCGTTTCGTGCTTTGTGGAATATGTGAGATTAATTTAAGAAAGTTATTGTCATTGTTAAATAAAACAGTTGCTTATTTAGTTATACAAGTTCTGTTCAAATTGAATAGAAGTACAGGAAGAGATAATTATTTGGTTGATAGTTAATTTATTAATGAACAGTGGCATCGGCCATTTTTTCTTGTTATAAGTATAATTGTTTTGAAGGCGTAGTTCTAAATGTTAGGTTTATACTAACAACGTTAAATACTTAACGCGGTTTATCAATTAGAATATATTTAAAGATTAAATATAATAATATTTATAATAGATACCATAAATGTTTTTAATTTTGAAGTAATAAATATATATGCTGGATTGCTTTAGACATTATGAAGTTTGATAACGTTTTGATTGAATACACTTCAGCTAAAACAAATGTATATATTTGTCATACAACCCTTTTATAATGTCTATATGTTATAAATAATTGAGTAATAAGTTTAACAAAATTATTACGGACGATGAATATTACATAACCATTTACTAGAATAGGAAATTAGAAATATAGTTCAATTTATTTCTTGTTCCACTATCCAGAAGTCTCATATCTTCAAGAAAAACAACTTAATTAAATACACAATATACAGCCATATAGGTGTATGTGTATCGTATATAATATGAAGGTACATCTTTTTATCATACTGCTGCATATGGGCATCATATTGTAAAAATAACAATAATAATAATTAATAAATACTAATAACTAAGAAGTAATATGATATTATATATATTTTTTTTTTATTTATGGTACAGCTTCAACTGCTAAGGTTATAAGCTTGCAACAAAAAATGAGAGCATTTGGTTACATATTATAATAAAACGATAGTTCCTTTTAACTTAGTTTGTACATATAAATTTGTTTTTGGTAACAATAAATATTATAATAATATTTCCTTAAATTATTTTGTACATATCAATTTGTTTTAGAAATGTAATTATTTTATTGGTGATGTCATAGGTTGGACTGAGGGCTTTGATGAGTATATTATATTATTATATTAATATATCCATTTTGATACAAATCAGCAATCACAATTCTCCAGAACATATTATATACCTAATATTTACGCTGTAAATAAGTTATTTTTAAATTAAAACCAATTGGGTTATTGCTCATACATATTGATATTTATATTTCAAATGTTTTTATGTATGAACATTGAACAGCCAATGTTTTCCATCAAATTAACTTAACTCAGTTAAAAATTATCATTAAATTGCCAAGGCTTGTAAAATACAAAATGGTAGTTCGTAAATTATGAGAGTTTGTATGATCACAGTTTACGACTGAAATATAATAAATATTTTGAAATTTTAAAAATATTATCTTTAAATATATGCAAAGTTTTAGTCATAAAAAAATAACTAGGTGCTAGTTGTCAAATAATCCTATTTAAAAGTTATAAAAACATAATTATAATATAATATAGTTCAAAAATAGTACACTCAGTGATCGTAGAATATGGAAAAAAGATTGGTAAAAATTATATTTTTTTTCTTACTAAAGTAGTAAATATATAAATTCATATTCTAAAGTATGACTTATTCAGGGCTTGAAGAGAAAATGAAATAGTACTTTTCTTTTGATTTAAGCTTTAAGAAAAAGCATATTAATTTCATAATTTTACTCTTTTGTTATTGTTGTATAATTTCAGTTTAAAATTTTAAATCTTTTATGATTTCTAGTTAAATTTTTAACAATTTTTTTTTAAAAACAACCATCACTATTAAGGACAGCAAAAATGCTTCGATTTTCTTCAACAGCATTTTTTCTTGTATGTTAAAAAATAAAGTTACTTTGGGAGTTTAAAAGTGAAAATTTTTACACGGTTTCCAAAAGTGTTAGGAAAAACAAACAAAAAATTAAGGACCTACTAAGATTTTTACGAAAACCCAGTTTTCGAAAAATTGATTTCGTTCTTTACCATAACTCTGATGAAAATAATCGTAGAAACATGAAATCTTCAACGAATTTTTATGTTAGCAATTTCTAAGCATGTCAAAATTAATCAAAATCTCGTGAATTTTAAAATAATTTTGTTAAAAAATTTTAAAATGTAGAATTTTTACAGATAAGGATTGAAAATTTAAAACAAAGCTTCACATTAATATTACATACATGCTGCAAAAAATAATCTAAAAAATAAATAAGCACAGTTATTTTTAGAGACATCGTATGTTCAAATTTGACGGAGTCACAACAAAGAATAACTATTTAAGTTATTTTGTGATAAATAAAAAATATTTTTCGAGGGTACTTGAGACTTTTAGATGAGAGGTAAATTATTTTGATTATTTTTTAAACACCATAACATTTACAAATTCAATCCATCGAGAAAAATGTATTAATAGTGCTAATGCCTTATGGTAAAATAAATTATCTTAATCACCATAAATATCAAATTTACCTAGTAGTATTACAGGCTCGTCGCCTTTGCTCTGATTCGTTTTTCTAAACACTTATAAATGAATTTTAATTCAACCCAACTGTAACTTACCCTCTTTAAAAAAAAAATCTTAATTCATAATACAAATAGCAATAATTGCTAAATAATTAACTTTAAAATTGCTCTGAGTTGTGATTATTATTTTATCAACTACGTAATTTAAATAATGACGATCGGATTTCTATAAACTTTCACACGTTCAGAGCGCGAATCAATCAAAACTTTATCAGTCATATATTATTTTTATTAATCTAATCACGCTGAGGATCACACCATACCATGCCATATCACACGATTAATCTTATACGCTTTTAAAAAACGTATATAAACAAACGCTTACCTGCCCAATCGTCATAACACAATTTCGTACAAGTCAATTGTTTGGTAAGCATCTACATCGGACGCCCAATTGTAGTATTGTTTTCGTTAAACAAATTTTTAATTTCTAGATTTCAATTTCTATCCCCACAAAAACCAACCAAAATCAAAAATGGGCGCAGAAAAAGTATCCATGAGCATCGTCGTCGTCGGACAAGTCCAGTCTGCCAAGGCCACCAAGACCGTCACCAAGGCCACACCAGCCACCAGCCAACTCATGGTGAGTTTGTAGTGTAATAGGTCATTTTACACGAATTTCAAATGCAGTCTGATTGATTTTGTCCAATTGTAATAATTATGTTTGGAAATATAACAATTTATATTATAATTATAATTATCATACTAAATTTGGTTGATTAAACCTGATAAACTCAGTGACTGACATGTTTTCAGGATTGTTATATTTCTATTTATTATTTTAATAAATTAAACTAAACAAAAACATCTTATTTCAAAAAAAAACATTTCATATGATTATTATGTTCTATTGAGTTATGTTATAAAAAAACTTAAGTTACTTTTAGCCATTGTCTTTAAAATTCATTCACTGCAACTATTTCATAATATTTTCTCATAAATATTATATTATATAAGTATGATATATACCTTACAGTAGACTCGTTAAAAGATTTTCTCAACATACTCAATACTTTATAATATCTTAATGTCTATAATTAAATGTAGTAGCAATTTAATTTTAATTTTTATATAATATAATATTTGCAAACACTGTTTAATGATACATGATACAGGTGCATTTCAAAACACTTTTTTCCGTATTAAATATAATAGTTTTATTAAATTAATTTTTGATTTGTTTCAGAACTGTTAAATCATGTAGTCCGTCCATCTCAAACACAAAAATGCCATAACCTAAACAAAATATGTATTTATAGTATTATATTTTGACATAATCAAATAAATCAGTATATTCCAATATTAAACTTGTTTGATTTATTATTTATAACACTATGCATTACCAGTAAAAATACAGTAAAACCTGTCTTGTGCGGAATACACACAATATATTTAAACATTGACTATAATTTCCAAAACGCAAGTATTATTGTATTAATAAATAAAAATACTTAATTCGGAGTATTATATTTATCAAGTATTCGAATACACATTCGGAATACTATATTTTTCATGAGTATTTGTGTATTTATTCCAAATAATTCATACTTTACTACAACTAATACTTTTTTATAAATTAATTTTATTGATGATGTTTTACTGTGTAAACATATAGGACCTATATATTATAGGTTGACATTTCCGTGTTTAAATTATTTGTTTGTAATGTACTTGATCATTTTAATAAGTGCAAAACAAATCCACTCACCCACAGGCTTTGGTATCCACATAAACAATTATTGTTTATAATAATAGTCAAATTCTATAAGACACATCAAGACTGAGTGTAACACAGATCTTCCTTAATAAATAATCTGACGACATATTCGGAAGCTTCAGACCTAACTTGCCATTATCCAACATCATATCCTCCCATCACTAGACTATATTGGCCAATTTGGTTTAATTCAAGCAACATTATTATTATATACACATGTATCTATTATGTATCACTATCTGTTTTTCAGCACTTATAACATTGAAACGTATATTTTTTTTAAATAGATTAAATAATTCTATTTGGATATACTATACATTTTAAAAAGTAGTTTTCATTATATTCATATGGATAACATTCAAACACGGAAAATCTTAAACAATAAACAGTCGGCTTTGAGTTTGCTATACTAATGGAAATTACAAAAAATATATAGGTGAATATTATGAGTGTACGGCAAATACTAAATAAAAAAAATGTAGCGCGATGTAGACTGCCGTGGACGTGGTGCATCAGCTCTTCTTGTGAAAAAAAACTGTTGACGGGTCGATTTCGCATGATCCTTGTACAGAGTAATCTGATGCAATCCCTTAATAATTGATGTGTATCAATTGAACGAAACGTTGAGCTATCACGATACGTCTATGAATTTATGTTCTACAGTGTAACGGTGTGTACCGCTAGTAGAACGTTTGTGTCGTTCCGTACATCACATATTTTAGTTAATTTTGATTGTAGTTTATTCTGAAAACACTCCACTCCACCAAACAAGAAACAACTGCATTTTCAAAACAAATTAAATATTAAAAGTCGATAATTGATTTTATTATTATTCAACTGTTCAGAAAATTTTTTTTTTAATTATTTCACGACTTACACTTGACATATAAATTAATTTTATTGATAATGTTTGATTGTGTAAACACATAAATTACGTTCCCATGCTTAAATTATTTGTTTGAAATATATTAAACCCCATTTTATTAATCGCCAATCATATCCACTCACCCGCAGTCATTGGTGTCATCATGAACAATTATTGTTCATAATAATAGTCAAATTCTAAGACACATCATGACTGAATACAATGCGAAGGATTCGTAATAAATAATCTGAGGACGTATTCGGAAGTTTTGGACCAAACTTGCTATTATCCAACAACATCACCATCCTACAGCAAACTATATTGGCAAATTTAATTTGATTTAAGCAACATTTTTACTATATAAAAATGTATCTATTACATATAACTATCTTTTTCTTAACACTTAAGTTATAACAGTGTAAAAAGTATTTAAAAAAAAAATAGTCAAATTAAATAGTTCCATTCGGATACTATTTATTTTAAAAAGTAGATTTCATTCGATAGGTATGGATAACATTCGAACACGAACATGTATTAAACAATAGACAATCGGACTTCAGTTTGCTTTACTATTGGAAATTGAAAAAGAATATATGCGAATATTATGAGTGTACGGCCAAAATTAAATACCTTTAATCGGTGTTTTTTGATCTGCGGTATGGGCAGTGTTAACTACAATCAAGGACAGTTTAAGATGTTGTTTTACATATTACGATGCATTTCCATTTGTTGTGGACTCAATATCGCATGCCACACAAATATTCAATGGGTAAAAAACAATTTTAATTATATTATTATTTATGATCCTTTCGTCAACACTGGCGTGTCGAACAAAATGGGGTAGATATTATTAAAGTAAAAAATAACTTATATCCAGCAATAAAAAGAAAAAAAGGAAGAATGTTGTTGATTGTTATTTTTTATAAAAATATCTTTAAAATATACAATATAAAAATTGAAGAGTTTGGTTGGATTTCCAGTAGTTTTTCGTGGTGTAGTTGCAATGCTGACATTTTTTTAAATTTAAAAAATTTTAAGTTGTATTGCTCAATTTGAATTCAAATGTAAATCGGCTATTTCTTTAAAAAAAGCTATTTTATTTGTAGTACTATAGTAAGTTTTCGCATGTATTTGTAATTTATTCAGCTTGTTGTTTATATACATGTTTTTAAAATCTATAATAATTTCTTTTAATTTTAGTATTACTTATTACCTATCAAATATCATATTATATCTGTAATCCTCAATGTAAATGAGACTGACTGTCAATTATATTATATAAGTAAATTAATTAATTAATTAAAGTATTTGAATATTTTAAAAGTAAATAAATAAGACCATATAAATCTATAATATGTTAAATGTTTGGAAATATGACATAATTTAACAATGATAATATGTAATATAAGTTCTATTTATATGTCATTGTATTTAACAGGCGAATGTTGTTGACCCATACATTTTTGACATAACATCAATAGTAATGATGTTTTTTTTGGAAATTATATATTTTGGAAATATGGTATCCAAAGTGTGGCGTATATTTTATGATAATTCAAATATCAGAGATATTGACTAAACTTGAAGCAATTCACGAACAATTAATACGTCTGAATGTAGTCAGTAGAATTACTGTTTTTATTGTTATTTAGATCAAGTTTTTTATCTTAAGGAGAATCCATGAACACTTTCGTTTTGTGCTTTGCGGAATATGTTAGATTAATTTCAGAAAATTATTTTTATTACTAAACAAAACAGTTGCTTATTTAGTTGTACAAATTCTGTTCAAATTGAATAGAAATACAGGAAAATATAATTAGTTGATTCGTAGTTAATTTATTAATAAATTGTGTCATCGACCATTTTTTTTCTGGTATTATTTTATTTATTTTTTATTTGCACACCTTTTTTATGTTGCACTTGTGTCAGGAGCTTTAGTTCTAAATATTTTGTTTGTATTTAAATCTTGAAAAATACATATTTTTTAAGTATTACGTTTGTGAATATTCATTTGAGCTAAACTAATATACTTTTTTTGTATTGGTTATGTATTATTTACTATTCAGTTAGTACTCTTAATGATTTTTTAAAATTAATAATTTTTAATTACTTTGTAAAGTTGACCTTAATCATTAGGTTTATAAGTTATAACTAAGGTTTATATGGTGATAAATAATAATCAATTCGTCATATCCGCTTATCGTTGTATTTTTAAAAGAATAAATTAATTTCACCTAAACAATATAAATGAAATGTGAAATATTAGCTTATATAAAATTGTACGAACATTATATTTTAAGTAATTTTTCTCAATTTTTATTTAATTATTATACTTTGGCAGAACATTTAAAGAGGTGGTCTGGTTGCATCGATCCGTAAAATTACATGACTGACGTTAGACAGTTCGCCAGGCACAAAAATGGACCGTTTCGTGTTGTGGTCGGTACCGGGCGTGGGCCGTAGCTGCGCCATGGCGTTGCGTAGGGCTGCGATGAGCTCGGGTGGTCGTGCCGTGGTGGGTGCGGGATGAAATAACTCACCGGGTAGTCGTAGTGTGGTACCATACACCATTTCGGCGGGAGCTAGGCCGATGTCCGTTTTTACGGTGCTACGCAAGGCGAGAAGTACTAGAGGTAACTTGGTGTTCCTGTGGACTGATTCCGACGCCGTGAGCGCGTCTTTGAGTGATCGGTGTAGTCGTTCGATCATCCCGTTCGCTTGAGGATGATAGGGCGATGATCGTATGTGCTGAATGCCGAATGTAATTGATAGTGAACGGAACAGGTCGGCCTCGAATTGTCTCCGCTGGTCCGTAGTTATGACGTCGGGTACGCCGAAACGCGAAAACCATTGACTCGCGAGAGGGTGACAGCAACGGCATGGGCGGACATGTTGTCTAGGGGCCAAACCTCGGGCCAACGGGTGTAGCGGTCGATACAAGTTAATAAGTATTTATTACCGTCTGACGGGGGCAGTGGTCCTACGAAGTCGATGTGTACAAGACCAAACCGGCGTTCTGTAGTGGGGAACGGAATAATCGGCGACACGGTGTGCTTGTTTGTTTTGGTCCGTTGACACTGGACGCAATGCTTGACCCATCTACTGACTTGTCGATTGATGTCGGGCCAACAATAACGCGCGTTGATCAATCGCGACGTCGCTTTCTGGCCGCCGTGCGCGAGACCGTGTAGCGCGTCGAAAACGCTGCGGCGGAACGCGGCTGGTGCGTACGTGCGCGCGGTGCCGGTCGTAAAGTCTGTGTAGATCGGGCCGTCTGGCGTATCTCGTACCTGCAACTGTAGCGCCGACTTGCTGGGGGCTGCCAAAATCTTTTGTAGTTCCGCGTCATCCGCCTGTGCCTTGGACCATTGTGACGCGTCAGGCAGGCCGTCTTGTAACGTGGCTGTTTCGCAACTTGACAACGCGTCGGGGACGACATTGTCGGTACCTTGAACATCATGTACGACAGCGTGGATATATTGTGACAGGAACGATATTTGTCGTACTTGCCGGTCGACGTATTTTTCGTTCTTATGAGTGAACATATATGTAAGAGGTTTGCGGTCCGTGAGCAAGGTGGTGAGGCGGCCTTCGATGATATGGATGAGGTGACGGGTACCGAGGTATGCCGCGAGTAACTCCCTGTCGTACGTACTATAGCGCGTCTCCGCGCTGGTAAGCTTCTTGGAATAGAAGCCAAGGGGCTGCCAATCGTCATCGTTTTTCTGTTCAATGACGGCTCCGACCGATGTACTGGACGCGTCCGTGCTGATCCGTAATTCCGCTCTCGGTTTAGGGTGAGCTAAATTTGCCGTGGCAGCTAGTGCTTTACGGCAGGTGTCGAATGCGGCGCGTGTGTCGTCGGTCCACCGCAGAGGTCCGTCTCTTTTTTTACTTGCGGCCAAGTCGTACAACGAAATCTGCATCTCAGCTGCACACGGTATAAACCTGCGGTAGAAATTCACCGAGCCGAGGAATCGCTGTAGGCCCTTTTTAGTCGTCGGTAGTGGCCACTGGTGTATAGCGTCGATGCGGTCCGGGTTAGGTCGACAACCGTCCCTATCGATGATATGACCTAGGAAAATGATGCTGCGGCAAAAACGCACTTAGCGGGGTTCACTGACATCCCGTATTTTTGAAGTCGCTCCAAAACCGCGCGGACGTGTTGTTCGGGCTCGGACTCGTCCCGAGACGCGATGAGCACGTCATCGATGTACGCGAAGGCGAAGTCGAGACCGCGCAACATATCATTGACGACGTGCTGAAACGTCTGCGCTGCGTTGCGCAGGCCGAAGCACATCACCGGGAATTCGAAAAGCCCGAACACAGTGGTAACTGCTGTCTTCGGTATATCCCGTGAAGCGATCGGGACCTGGTGGTATGCTTTAACCAAATCCAACTTGGAAAAACATGACCGGCCTGCCAGGTGTGCCGTGAAATCATGCAGATGAGGCAACGGGTAACGGTCAGCACGCGTGACCGCGTTAAGACGTCGATAGTCGCCGCATGGTCAGCATGACCCGTCTTTTTTGGCAACTAGCAGAAGTGGGCTGGCCCAGGCGCTTGACGACGGACGACAAATCCCCTTGCTCAGCATGTAAATCGAATTCGCGGCGTACTATCTGGTCACGTTCCGGCGGTAGTCGTCTTGGGCGGGAGAATAATGGTGGTCCGGTGGTACGTAGCTTGTGTACGACATTGTGCTTGAACACGGTAGGCACGGGCGATTCACGCGTGACGTCGGGAAATGCCTGTAGTAAATCGGTCCATTTCCGCGAATCAGATACGGCAAATGCTGTAGTACTGACGTCATTAATGGATATCGTTTGAATCACATTATGGTCTGTCGGGTTGATAAGACGGTGATGCTTGACGTCGATAAGCAGACCGAAATAATGTAAGAAGTCGGCGCCAATGATAGGTCGAGCGACGTCTGCCATTTCGAATGTCCAATTATATGTTCGTTTGACGCCTAAATTTAAACGTAACGTCTTGGGGCCGTACGCTTGTATTCGCGTACCGTTGGCGGCCGTCAACACTATGTCAGACGCGGGACGTGCACCTGTGGTAGGTGGTAACACAGATATTTCGGCACCGGAATCGATCAGATATTGCTTGCCGGTTAGTGTGTCGCTGACGAACACGCGGCGTGTCGGGTGGGCGGTGGAAGGTAGCGGGGCCTCCGCCGCTTCCACTAGTTTTCCGAGCGGAAAGTACTCGGGTCGCGACAATTACGCGCTTCGGCGCCGAAATTGTTGTGGTAAAAACACCAGCTGTCATTACGCGGGCGTGATTTTGAGCGCGAACGTGATCGGTTAGAAGTTGACTGCGCGGTTGGACGTGACGTTCGGAGCGATTTTGCTTGGGCTGTGGCCAATGCGGCGATTTGCGTAGTAAGCGCCAAAATGGAATTTTCGATCGCTCTGAAACGATCCGTGTCACTGTAGGCGGAGACTGAAGCGATGTCGTGACCCGTTGTTGCGTCCATAATTCGATCGGCGCGTTCAGCGACTGAATCCAAATTGCCGTCGAGACTAATTACGACTGCGCGGATAGCGGGAGGCAGTTTCTGTAGCCAGAATTCTTTAAGGGCTATTTCGCCGATGCCGTCGGTGGTTCCGCTTCGCATGTCACGCAGTAATTGTGATGGGCGACGATCGCCCAAACCTCCAGGCTGTACCATTGAACGAAATCGAGCGGCGGTAGGGACAACGTACGCCGCAATAAGTCGGCTTTTTATGAGGTCGTACCTAGCATCTGGACCTAGTAGGTCTGTTACTGTACGGATTCCGTCCTCGTCCAACGTGGCGACCACGTGGTTGACGCGCGATAGGTCAGATTTGATGCGCTGGTTGTGGAAAATAGCCTCAGCGTGCACGAACCATTGCTCAGGAGCATGGCGCCAAAAACTGGGGAGCCGCATGGTAGATAGTGCCGCGACGGCGGCGTTTAAATCAACCTGTCCACCCGGTGGTGGTGTTGTCAGACTTGCATTGCCGTTTTCGGTAGACAGCATGTCTATAAGGTTACCGATAGGCAGTGACATCGCTCGCGACGGAGAACGGAAGCACAGAAAAGCGCACTCGCGAAAACGGGCTACTAGTCACTAAACTAGTGAAAACGGGCGGCTGCGGGCGCAAAGGGAAGAACTTAGGTCACCAATTTAGTGGTCGGGGTTATATACCACACCGACAGCACGGTCGCTTCCCAATCAGAAGGTTTAAGGATCATTAAGAATAAACACACAATAAGTAATGTTGTGATGATATTTATTTTTCTATTAAGTTCGCGAGTAAGACTAAATTAGGCTAGCAGGTCACGACACCACTGTCTTTTAAGTCTTTTAACTGGACTACCTGGGATAGAAGCAGATGAAAGATTGGAGATTAACGGATTCTTATAATGGGCTAGGCGGCTATTGAAACGTTTGTAGTGAGTTTTGGCTAGTTCGGAGACAAATGGAATTTTTAGGTCAGAGTGGAGGGTGTGGTTAGAGACATAGAAGGGTGCTTTTAGAATGGTACGTTGATTTGTGGTGGATCAATAATTGCTCCAAATTTAGTAGTCTCTGGTAAAATCTTTGTTCGTCAAATTTAAGAATGAATTAAAATTAAATAAATATAATTTTTAGCGGCTCATTGTTTTTGGTGAAAAGGTATGTTATCAAAGATAATATCATCAAACGACGGCCAATACAAAATTGCTGTTGGAAAATATGCTAGAGATTTTACAGTTGTTGACAATGACTTTACTAAAATAGTTAATGTAAGTTATTCATAACTCAAAATAACAATAATAATATGTATAATATAAACTAAATAAATTGTACAAATGGAAATGATTTACCTGAAAGAAGATTATTATGGACCTACTGGGTTTCATGCTGAAAATATAGCTATTCTTGTGTTACAAAACCGAATTTCTCTGAGTAACGGCGTTTCACCTGTTTGTATCGATTGGAATGGTAAATACAATGTTGTAAATGGTGATCAAGGAAAGGTTGGTTAGAAGTATTATTTAAATACTAAACTTGTGATTTAATTTCAGCTAATAACTCTAACAATTTATGCAGTGGTGTGTAACATATAGGGTCCAAATGTTGCTGAGACAACACTTTAAATATGGGTGGGTGGGTATTGATAAAAGAAAAATAGGGCATTTTAAAGGTCGCTATAACAGTATAATGAGGGGTAGGTCACCAACAATTATTGGAGCAACACCTATTTTTTTATGGTACACGCCACTGAATTTATGTAAGGAGCAATTACCGTGCTAAAGCATGCATACATGTTGGCATGTTACAAATTACAATATATATCTAAACAAATCTGAAATTCAAATTCTTTTTTCATATTTGATTTAATTCCAAAATTAGAATACTTTGATAAGTCAAAATGTGTCTAACTAATTATTCTCATTACCAACAATCACATAAAGAGTGATTGATATTATACATTAATTATAATTACGTATATTATACAACTGTTTTTTACTTCTACAGATTGTTGGTTGGGGAAAAACGGAAAAAGCATTTCAAGTCCTATATTATTAGAAGCATTTCTACTATACATCGATCATAATTCTTGTCGGAATATGCATACAAATGGATTTGAACCTTATGTGACTGCTGATAAGTTTTGTGCTGGTTCGTCGTTGGGTAATAAAATATTGAATCATTAATTATATGAAATCATTGTTTCATTTTTAACAGACTTAAATTAAATGTATTTAACACCTAATGTTGTAGGCAACTATAAAAATGAATTTAATTTTTATTAAATACAATGAATCATATTTTACAATTCCCATAAAGATGCATAATATATACTTACACAGTTACATAGGTTAGGCATACCTATCGTGTAAACATTACACATAGCTAGTGTACGTGGGCGGTTGGTGCCAATTTGAAGTACTATTTGTTTGTTTTTATTATCACAAGCTAAAACTATAAATCAATTTTGGCTGTATTTTTTTGTCTTGGACAGTAATTACAAGTGTCCTGTTTTAGAGATAAAATTTTGTTGTAAATAATATTGATTTATTAGTAATATCTACTGTAAGGAGCAGAAGTTTAATTTTTTTTATTTCTCAGTTTTGCCCATTGTTCCCACCGTAAATGAACAGAAAGACTAGGAGGTAAATAATCTAACAGAATCTAGTCTTTTATGATGGCTTTTCCTTCATTTATACACTTGAATATGATCAATAATGAATAGTTTCTGTTCATAATGCCATAATCGTCAAATGATTTTCGTCTTCATCCTTGTTTCTTTTTAGAACTTTCAGCATTAGAAATATATTTTAAAGATAAGTATAGTCGGTCCACTGAGAGACTGGCCGGCGACCAATCCTAACTCGTTCATTCTCATCACTAAACTTGCCGGCTAGGTGGTAGAGTGGGAGACGAAACCACGGAGCTCAATCATTTATTTTGTATGCGTGAAAGAGTAAGAGAGTCCAAGAGTAACACAGTACATCACATATCATTTTAAAATAATCTTATCTCCTCTTCTGTTAGTTGTAATGCACAGGTTACCTTTTATTTGACTTTTTTGTATGAAAACGATCATTTCAATTATGTTATATAATATACCTAGATTAACCGACTAATCGTAATAGATTCCACAGATGATAGAATATCATTATTAAATAAAGTTAAACAATTCCCAATAGTTTACAAAAGCGGCCGGAAAAACCAAACAGAAACTTAAGGAAAAACAGGAACTTTTACGGAAACCGATTTTTGGCTAAATATTTTGGTTATTAATGTATCTCTGAAATAAAATACCATAGATACAAAAATGTTCACTGAATGTTTATAAACAACTTTTTTTCTCCTTCATCGCTGTCTTTTTGGAACTTTCAGCATTAGCTCAACACTTTAAACATAAGTAGGGCCTATGATGTATAACCCGTTATAGATACAAAAGCTTTCACACAAACTTTTACTCTTTCTGATGAGGGTTTGCTATAAATACTAAACGGTTAGAAAAACTTTTATTAAATTAAAACAACCGTTTAATACAACCCCGAGGTATGTGGATAGTCGTTCTATTTATTAAAATATTTTGACCCCACGTCGAAATTTGTTTCATTCAACCTATCTATGTTAGGGTTTTACATGTCAAAATAAACTATTATACTGTAGTATAATCTAACCTAACTTAATGTTTGCTCTCGTACCGTGTAAATGTAGAAAAACGTTACTGTTTACACTAATCATTATTTATTGTTCTGTTTTCGATTATTACAGGTGGCAGAACAAAGGTGATATAATAAATACTTATCTAGCCCTTTCAGGACTACAAAACGAAGCTTTCTTACAAAAGAACAAACTGCTTCGCAAAAAAATCATAGGTTTGCAGAGGGCCCCTTGTTTGATGGCAAGAGAGATGAACAATGACGACGGAAGACAATCTGACAGGAGTGATTACATGAGGATAATAATACGGGTTTGGTCATTAAATAAACTTCAGCACCACTACGACCTGAAAAATGTGTTGCACATCGTCGCCCCCAACAACATGTTCAAGAAGTTCAACAACTCCCGAATGGTGGAGAACAAGCACAACCACTACCAAGCCGGCAAAAGTAGCAGCTAAGGAGACGGACCTAGCTGTCATCTGTCCACGACCGAATTCATACCACTGGATTTTTTAGCCCGAAGTTATGTTAACGAGATGTGAGACATTGGATAGGATCATGCTCGATCTGTGGCCATAGGCTAGGGTGACCAGTTTTGCAAAAAAAAAGCATGCATATTTTTAAAAAAAATATTTTTTATATTTTATAATTACAATTTACAATTAAAATATTTTTTAACTTCTTCGCTTAATATTTTAATAAAAAACTTGTTTACTTTTATTATGTTGATGTCGATTGCTCATCGTGTCCTTTACCATCTATTGTGTCGTTACTGTACTTTTGCGATGAACTGATTGCGTTCAACAGTTTTGGTTGTGTTAGCAAAAAATCAAAAAAATCATTAGGTACACGAATATTTTTTGAAATGATTTTTCAAAATTATAATTGATTTGATGGTAGGAACAAGAAAGCGATATTTATTAGTGTGTTTTTTATCACCTTTTGGAGCAGTAAAAATACTCGATTTATTTTTACAGCATTTTTTTCTGGCAGGAAAGTGAATACATTTGGTACTTTGGGTTGTCAAAAGACCGTATAAAATTCACAATAGTTTTCAAAAGCCGCACGAAAAATAAAGAAAAATGAAGGAAATATGGAAATTATATTATTATGTTAATAACAATATAATGTGGTTACCAATGTTTATCAATATATATTGTATATATAAGTATCATATATACTATTTATATTTAATCCAAATAAAGTTTATCAAATGCAGCTAAAATTGGAAGAAAAGTTAACTACCTAGTTAGTTGTTACCTAGTTGTACCGTAGGTATATGGATGTTTATTTACTGCATATATATCTATCTATTATGTATTTTTTGGTTCGTGGTGTAAACAATTTAAAGGTTGGTTTGTCCCTTATAAATTATCTTGTCATAACCCCACAGTTGGGTAGACCTATTGTTTTAGGTCGAAACATGAGGAAGAAGGACATAGGGATAATTATAAGACTCGCGACAGTAGTGTATCTAAATAAATGGCTTTTAATACGCAGAGTTCCGTGTTCTGAACTCTGAATTGTATAGATTTAAACACTCCAAATAATATTCTGTTTCGGAATCTGAAAAAAAAATGTATCATCCAAAGAATTTAAAAACTCTAAAACTGAGAACAACATATTGTATTATAAATTATAATATCTATCATCCATGGCAAAAGCCGGTCGTCGTCACTCATCGGAGACGATTCACAAATCTAATAATTTCATTGAACAAAATAGAAATGTGTAAGGCAACAGCAAACATTCACTCACATATTTCATTCTACTCAAGTAATTTTTATAAAAAAAATCTCGATTTTTTCAATTCGGAATTAGATGAAGAAAGAAGTTCCTCGATATGGCGTCTGCACACAAGATATGGCC